TAAATACTACAGGATACTACCCTATAGGCTTAACATTTCTTCAATAAACGTTGATTATAACTGGTGGTGGTGTCTTCCGGTTCACCATATGGCTATAATCTGTAGGCTATATTGTACATCTAAACACTCTCCGTTAATTACATAACATAGTAAGATAGTTCAAACACATTAAAGGCATCGCTGATTCATTAATATCACGGTGAGTGAAGAATGAACCATGCGAGAAATATTTAACAATATTAACGAGGGGTGGTCTAATACTATCGCTAGTATCATGACACTAACTTACATAGTTTATTATAAATATGTAAGTAGATCACGAATGGCGTGTGATAGTCCAGAGCTAGCAGAGATATGTGCCATTATAAAGTTTGGCTGCATGAATTAACTTTTCTATTACCAACTTTTACGTCAACTGTGACCAATACACTGAACATCTGGTTTGAAGGTAACAGTCAAGATGACCATACTTATTAGGTGGAATTCCACCCATTTCATATACCATCTATTTCAGTAGAATATATCCCAACTGGCTCATAGTACAAGTTGTAACTTATCGAGATAATAAGACTTGTTAAGATTAAATCAATAAATCTTTGTTTTAATAACATCAGTTACTGATAGTCTAATTTACTAACATTATGTTATTATATAAATATAATGAACGATATCATATTATATTATACGCATGGTCTCTTTTTGTCAGATTAGATCGACACACTAACCCACACAATCAATGATTGGTAAGTTGGCAGTACTGGGTCACGTTAGTGGATTTACCCTCAGGTTTTATATCTATAGGCCAAACCCCTTTGTTCTATAGGTTGCAGATTTTCTAGCCTATGGATGAATCCTAAGGTAAAGGTCAAGACAAGAAGGGGATTTGGCGGCAATACGATGAGTCGTTCAATATCATAATGGAAAAGACCGACAATAAGTTCAATATGAGAAGAGTATGCAATATATAATAATAAACTTCAGAAATGAAGGAAGCCTGTATTGTTTCATGGTGATTTATATGTCTACTATATAACTTACGCTAAAAACTTCGTCAATTTGCCAGATTTGATAATATTTATATTAAAACTGACAATGGGTGGGAATTTTGCCAAGGCCAAGCCTTACACTGATTCCTCACACTAATTAACCCACACTAATTCTACCTTCCATGGATTATATCAGTCGATAGTTTATATGCATGCAATGAACACTACCCCCACGCCTATTCTCTGGAATTATTTCAAACACAGATTGTCAATGTTGTTTATGTCGACGATTCGGCTGTTCTCCCGAATTTGATGCTATGAGAGTTTTGAACCAGTGATCGCCTGGGGGTTGCAAATCATTATAGTGCACATTTGTACAAAAGGCGCCTGTTGACTGAGAAAACACGTGTTTCAATATCACAAGACATGAAATGTCACAAGTAAAATGTGTGTGCTGAATGTCTGAAATTGTACAAATTAAAATTTAGAGTCAGTATCAGTGTTTCACCTGATCTTAATCGCCGAGTCAGAAGTAATCAAGTCTATTTGAAATTAGATTACAAATTTGTTTCGTTCACAGAGAAATAAAACGTCACGTAACTGACTAATTTATTCAGATTTGAATATTTACATTTAAAGATATGGTTAATAAAAAATGAGTTCTTTGATATGACAAAACATTGTACCCCGTGACCTTTGTTAGTAAGCCTGAATAATTTTTTATTTGATTGGTTGCTTGATCAGCAGTCGACCAACCACATCTTGGACATTACTGAAGGCACCCAATGAAGAAATGTCAGTTATAGACCAAGATGATTTCGAACGAGAATTAAGGAATGAATGAAGGAAGGAAATAAGGTTTAACATCCTACTTTTCTACTTCTACTGCCAAAGGTTATTTTACGTGAACGTCAAGGTGTACATAGGATCCTCCGTTTTTCGAACTAGATGCTGTTCCTTGCCAGAAACTCCGTCCTGCACTACTGACAAGAGGAAAGCTCGCGGTAAAATCACGAGAAACTTTCCCGGCCAACACCAGAATGATACCCGGGACCTCCAGGATAGCTAGCCAGTGCCTTATTCACTTTGCCCCCGCGGCCCCCGGTCGTCCTACTGCAAGTCAGCACACAACCTACTCCAGATCGGAGCGGCGAGGGTGGCAACATGGATCAATCAGTACCAGTCTTTCTTGCCAGCTTCCCAGCGGTCCTGATAAGTTACTTTAGCTATCGAATCGGGCGAGACAAGTTCCCATTATACACCGAATATCATAAGGCACAGCTGCACCTTTAACCACGCGGATGGGAGGCTGCGAGTTTCCTTTTTCGTCCTCCTTTACCCACTTGCCTATCAACACCAGGAAAGTTTGTTTGCATTATCACCCTAACCTCCACTAACGAACGAACCAACCAAGATGGAGTGGAATAAACAACATAATTTTAATTAGACTACATGTCCACGACCTCTGGTATAATATTTCTAGAGAAATAAGAAATATTTGATACATGAAGCAAGTTGTCAAGTTTATCATATGTCTTCTAACTAGATTAAATCTTAGAAATCTGTACGCCTGATAGAATAAGATGATGTAAAGTTGGTACAGGAAATTAGAACATCTTGAACATAAATAACATTAGTCAAGCGTATATCATTCGACATTTCTAACTGTACTCTCACCAAATCTATCTTGAAACAATAGGATGGAACAGCGAAGGAAGCACAATATACTCCTTAACATTGAATTGAGAATTTAGATGCATTATGTCGATCTTTATTTTGGCTTCAAATGTTATATAAACTATTATTTAGAGATTTATTCACATGACAAGCCCATATTCAACTTTCAAACTCATCCGATAGCATAGATTAAAATGGATTAGAGCCCCCCCCCCCCAAAAAAAAATAAAATAAAAAATAACAATAAAATGAATAATGGAGATTTCGTCTCGTTGGTCCAGTAAATTGAGTAATATGACTATGTTTTATTATCATCGCAAATGTACGAAATAAACATTGCCCCGACACTAGAAATTTTTAGACAATTGGCAGTGCAGGTTAAGTTGTTCTGAAACGAAACGGTCTTTTGACATTGTGTAATTTCCACGATTTGCCTGGTAGCCTACATGTTTAATTTATTTCCAAACATGATTCCATTGGCAAAATCCAACTTTTGATTTTGAATTTTGTGGGGTTTGTGTTTCATTAGTCAAACATTAGAGAGAGAGAGAGAGAGAGAGAGAGAGATGGGGTTTACATGGTTCAATTTTATTTCAATAATTCGCTTGCGAGTAGGGGTCTTTAGCAGTGGGAGGAAACCGGAGGACCCGGATAAAACCCACGTGGTTGGACAGGCGACGTTACGCCTTGTCACGAACAACCGGGGAACCCAAACCCCGCCAGTTGACTCAATGACAGGCCGTATGATATTGCGCGCGCGTGCTAACCATTCGCCCCCCCCCCCCCCCTACCCCAAACATTATAGCGCCGAACAAACCAGTTTAGTTCACAGCGGCCCATAAAAAGCCTATTAATGTTGGAATTTAATGATTAAAAATTCAATATCTTATAGCTATAATTGAATCAATGTCGTATTGGAGTTTAGTGGATACAGATTGGCTTTATTAACAGTCCCTGTAAGTCTCCAGACAGAATAGATCATCAATGAAAAAAACCAATAGTGTACAGTTTCAACTGATGACCTAAGATAAAAAGCAAACGTTGAAGTCTCTGTACGTCATTTAGGGGATTTTAATTCCTTGCAAAATACAATTTTATATTGTAAACGTTGAATCTCTAAAAGGAATATCAGTCCAAAAATGGTTCAATTCCGCTAATTATTATGAGGAATTAAAACTTTGTAAAAATTTCAAGCCGAGAGATTATCTAACGTGGATATTTTGATTTTGAGTAATTAATTTGAGTACATATTTCCGTACTATTCTCCGAAAAACGCAAATGACTATTAGTACTTTTAACAAAAGATTTTATTATTTCCTCACCAAGTATTTTATGGATTTATTATCTGAGAACAGTTTTTAGGGTACTAAATGGTAAGTGTTCTGAAATGGGAGTGGGGTGGGCCTTTGCACCCACTTTAATCTGTAAGAGTAACTGACTCCATCAATCAAAATACTGTAGTTTGGGTGCGCATTGGGGTGGTATGGTATGTATTATCGATATTGTGATGTTTTACGGCCACAGTCAATATAAACAACATGGGATTTCGAGTTTTTGTCCATGCCGAACAACTAGGAAGGGATCTATATTATACTAGCAAACATTATTCCAGATAAATCCAAACAATTTGCATTGGCCGGTGCAATCTAATGAAACAAGTGGGTGAAAGGTGGAGAGGAGCATTTGGTCTTTAAGATAAAACATTCAAATCATCATCTTTTATCACACTGGTACGTTACAAACACCATATGGCAATATTATACTCTTTATCGTCATATTACTGTTCAAGAAAATCGAAGATGTCGGCTTCAAGCATTCAGACTGCGAAACTACCAGACACCACACTCTAATCATAATGAATAAATCGAAAGTATTAGGTTTCAACAAGCTATTACGTATCTTTAATTTTATTCCACATATCCGATGTGTTTACGGGACCTCAGTTTTTCGTCCCATACTTACGACTACAGACGCGGTCCTTCCCAGGCCCTCCGTCCTGTATCATTGACAACGGAGAACCCCGCAGTAAATACCCGGGAAACTTTCTCGGCCAACACCGTGATTGAACACGGGACCCCCAGTTTAGCGAGCCAGGGCCTCACACACTGAGCCACCGGGACTCTCCCACAATCTTACACTCATCTTTGGCAACGCGCTTCCAAAAACGCGCCAGCTATCTCTATTTCGCAAATATATCAGCGCATTATAAATGAACATGTAAAAATGACAAAAGTCAAATTGATAAAAGGCTTCAATTGTTTCAAGAGTGTTACATATATATAAATGGCAGGTAAAACCCGTATTATTTTATCTTTGTTATAAGAATAAAGAACCTACCTTGATTCCTGGAAATGGTATGTGTTAACGGAATAAGCCATGTTCCCAAAACACTAACTAACAGGTATAACTTGAATGCAGAAAATTCCTGCATTTTCTACAAACAAAACAATATCCTAACTTCTTAGATCTGCTATGTCCGACACAATATTCATTTTTTTTCTTACCAATTCCACCCAACTGGCACCACGAGGTAGGGGCGTGGTTTCAAATGTTATCAATCTGTCTTTCACTTTATTGTGAGCCAATCAAAGACGCCATGGTGTCTATTTACGTCTGTCAGTTATCTGTAGGGGAATGTATCGACCTTAGTGATTAGCCGGTTCTTCGGTATTGAGATCTCTCTGGCTGCTCCTTTCGACTGTTTAATACAACCCAGGGTTGTGCATGTCGCTTGTTGAACAGACTTCCATGATCAGGTGCGGTAAAAGCAGACCCCTGTTTTAAACAGCTTCACAGCAGGAATGGCTTTTTGTATGCCGTACACACTGTTGTACAGTATACATTAAGATTCGCTGTAAAAACCATGTGCAAATATATGGTAACCGTCTCGACCTTTTGAAAATAAACATGCGGGTTACAAAGACGCGGCTTAAACCATTTTAAATGTGATATCAACAGAAAATTATCGAGTTAAATGTGATACGCACGACGTTAAACAAGAGAACACACGCTGACTTGCAATGGAACATCAATGAAATATTTTGACGCTATTAAATTTCTTGTTTGCCCCAAGAGCAAGAAGGATGAGTGTTGAAATATGTAAGGTTAATACCAGTTGTTATAATGCAAGGCAAATGAAGATGTCATGCAAAGATATGAGGGGAGAGCAAACTTTCAATTTCAGTTTCAAATAAAAAGAAAAGCGATGCAGACATCACGGGGTGTCTCGAAAATATTTTAGGGAATATATCAAATTGATTTTAGGTGTGAAACGTTTGTCTTGGCCGACCATCTTTGTCGTAGAGAAAAAAATATAACTAGATTTAAAGTTGTAAGGGGGATCACGTGGCTAAGTGGGTAAGACGCTGGCTCGCTAGCCTGGAGGTCGGGTGTTCGATCCCTGCATTGGCCGAGAAAGTTCATCCCGATTTTCCGGCGTGGTTTCCCCTTGTCAGTGATGCAGGACGGGAGGGGGGGGGGGCTGACAAGGACGTCAGCTGTCTAGTCGTTCAGATGGGACGAAAATCCGAGGTCCCGTGTAGACATTGGCGTGCACGTAAAAGATGCCTTGGCAGTTGGAATTCGATATAAGAGTAGGCTGTAGCGTCGCTGCCCGGGCAAAATTTCCCTCATTAGCCCAGGGTAGGAGCAGAACAGTAGGACGTTAAACCCTATTTCATTTCATTTCATTTAAAGTTGTAAAGGGCTGAACATAATTTTTGGTGTTCTATCTATTCGGATGGAATTATTAAAACAGAAAACATCTGCTCGCTTGATTCTCGAAATGTCAGGCAGTAATGGACCACTACTTGGGTCCATTATTCATAATTTAAATTGGTTCGGCAATTACAACAGTGCCAGAATTGCATGTGCTATGTATATACTGCATTTCCAGGAACAATGTTTTCTAAAGATTTACATGTTTCTCCAGAATAATTTTCTACCCGTTTTCATGGCAATTTTGTTGACTTTTTTGTCCAGAATCAAAGAGTTGTTTGAATTTACAATCAAATTCGAGTGAATATTCATAATTTGACGCCGATAGATCAGGAAGTAAACATTATATTAGTCTGAGAAAAAGACGCCATTGCCTATAGATTCGGCTCGGGTGATGCTAACTGTGGCCCGGTTGGGGAGGTTCGGGAATTTCCGATGATTGCCGAATCCATCCCAGAAATCAGTATTTTGACGGAATACCAACCCTAACCCTTTATAAAGCGGCCATTGTTGACTCAAATTCGGTCCAATTTAGCGTCGGAAAATCCCGAACCTCTCCAACCGGCCTACAATTAGCATCACCCATTGGGGTCTTTGTAATTTTAAGTATTGTGCGCTCTACTATTTTATTGCTACCCGTGGAGACATGTTAAATAACGACAACGCTGTTTTTTTTTACTCATGGTGACAGGCCACAATCTAAACTTTAGTTGAGCTTAGGACCCCTTTTTTAAAAACAGAAAGAGCAACGAATTAACTCATTTTTTATATATAATTGAAGCATTCTGTTAGTTTTTCACAGTATTGAAGTAGTCGTATGTATTGGGTAGTGTCCCGCCCTAGAAAGAGCAACGTCTCCTGCTAATAAATTGAATTACAATTCAGGGGAGGTAATCGAGTTGTATGTCTATTTGGAGGCAGACTACCATTTATTTCCCCATTGACTTCAATTTTAATTCTGACCTCTTTGCGCACCTCCAACTTTTCCCCAAATTTTCGTTAGGCTAAATACTTTTCACTAAAGACAGAGGAACAAATGGTCATGTCTTTGCACTAAAATTTGTATGGGGTTGACCACCAAAATTTTGAGATACACAAACTTGAAGAAGCATACTAAAACATGTAACTAGTTGCCGTATATGTCACCGTAGCCAACCGGATAACCCCATTATCCTTCCGCCTCAAAATCATGAATATTTACCAAAACCTGGCAGAAAATGTTAATTCAAACCCTCTTCATCCATTCTAGATAAAAAAAAAATCAACCAAAATAGGCATGCAAAAGGGGAGAAAAGAGACAGAGAGAGAATTGCTATAAATAGATGAACTACAATTTGTGGGTACCGAGATGGTGAAATTTAATGGTGGTCTGCCTCCTATATGGTTTTATAAGTTCATATATCATCAAACTTCTTTTCTTTATAGCTTCACATTTATTTTGCAACATTATTATAATAATGAATCACAAAAAAATAATTACTGCAGACATGCTGACCCTTTAAAGTTATGTACTGTTTTGTATACTGGATTGCAGCTCAGGTCCATGGGCCTTTTGTTCTAGAATTGAAGATTCTTTCTTAATTTTGTCAAAATAGGAGTTCTGCGAAAAGATTTAAAGAGTTACAAACAAGTCACATAAAAAATATTCAAATTATTGGAATATTTTTCAAAAATTGACTTTCATTTACCTTTTTCTACAAAATGGTCCATTTTTGACACTTTGTATGGCTTAAAATAACATTATTTCCCTATTTCGTGGAATGTCTGAGATGATAGGCATTTATTTCTAGAAACCTTGGCCAGTATACAAGAAGACAAGCTGCAAATTGAATGCATTGAAGGTAACAACTGTAAGGAACTATAGTGAAACTTGTAAGCCCACCCCATAAAAATGTTGATGTGGTATATGTCCACATAAGTAATACTGTTGATGGAATATGGCTAATAGCCATGCTCTTCTATCCCAAATTTAATGGTGGTCTGCGTCCATTTGGGGACAGATCAACAAAATAGCCATATTATGGAAGATCTAAATAATCAGTCTCTATACAATACGGAGTCTGGAACTAAATACAGGAACAACTGGTCAGGGTTCTAATACGTTTATACAATACATAAATTATTATACAATGCTATTGACTAAGGGTGTAATTAAGTAATATATCAAAGTTATAATGAAAATAACAAACATTCATTATTAATTGAAACTTGTATAATATAAGAAACTTTTTTAATATTAACCATTAATACATTTAGATATATATAAATATAAACATTTCATAAGGTTTCTTATACATGATTAATTAATATTCTGGAATCTGTAAAGGGAAAATCAGTTAAAAAATGGCTGCATTTCCTTTAGTATTTACAGAAATTTGATAACTGAACATTAATTGTCAACATTCGACAAACTTAGTAGACGATATAAACAAACCAGTCCCGCATGGGCCTCGTTTTATCTACTGTTGATATTTAGATTTCGTTTTCCTAATTAAATGTTAAATAATCACTTTGGGCACATTTTAGTCTGTATTTATTCGTGTCAGAAAAATGCAAACGACGAGAGAGAGAAATGGAGTTTAACGTCCACTCGACACAAACTAGGTCATTTCGGGACTAACGCATGGTGCAATTTTATTTCAATAATTCGCTTGCGCGTAGTTTTTTTTAGCAGTAGGGGGAAACCGGAGGACCCGGAGAAACCCCACGAGGTTGGACAGGCGACCCCACTCCTTGTCACGTACAACAGGGGAATCGAAACCACGCCAGTTGACTCAATGCATGACAGACCTTATGATACACCGCGAACGTGCTAATCATTCGGCCATCTCCCCCCACCCCTTTTCAGTAGATATAGGGGATACTCGATTAGACATGCATTATGCAAGAGCAAAATCTGCTTATTACAAATCTTTCTTTAGGCCTGAAATGTTATCTAAATTATCAATTAGACATCATTTAACTTATCCAGACCATAATAAACTCTCTATGTCAAGGCTAGCCTTCGATGTTGGCTGGATTAGATTCCTATATGCCGCTTAACGGCCATTGATAATTAAATCAAAACAGTGGATAATCGAGACCATGCTGTTTATATTAATGATTTTAGTAATGATGACCGAGACTATGCGAAAATTTCACCCGCTTCGTTCTCGGCTCATAGTGGATCAATTTGACTGAAATTTTTAGCAAATTACCTTTACACTGTCTAGTTTTTAACTATTATAGCGAGAACTGCCATCTCGTTATCTTATCTCCCATAATGTATCTTTAAATTCTCTCAATTCCAAAAATAGTGTCAATCGAGTGAAAGGGTGAATTTCGGAGTACAACGCATGTGCCGACTGCATAAAAAAATTATCTCATCCGATCATGACAGCTGAAACATATTTGTTACTTAAAATACGTCACGATTCTACTCACACCACCTCAGCTGTCGGGACTGGCAGAACTGTGACAGGGCTGAATTCCATATCACTTGATTGCAATTCTGTCAATTCGGGACGTTCCGGGCTGACAATCGAGCAACCCAATAATAATACCAAGGTGAGAAACGGGTTGGAACAAAATAGTTGGGATTAAAGTTCACTACTCAAGATTCCGTCAACCAGTGACAATACTCACTAATTTTCGCTAGGAAGACAATCGAGTCTACGCTGACGTTTTAAAATTATCTACGTGACCTAGTTTTCTGGAGAAATGAGTTCAGAAACATATTAGATTACTTTATCAACTATTATGGGAGATTAGATAAAGAGTTAACAGTTCTCGCTATAATAGTTAAAAAATAGATAACGTAAATAGAATATGCTAAAAATGTCAGTCAAATTGCTCCTCGCAGAACCGAGATATTAAGTTTTAAATTTTATCCTAGCCCCGATCATCATTACTAAAGTCGGTACGATAAAAAAAAAACCCAACAAAGTCTCGATTATCCAATTTTACGTTTAATTATTTTTCAAAAGAATTATTCCAATCAGCTAAATATCGCAGACTAGCGATGGCATCGAGAGTTGATTATGGTCTGGATAAGTTAACTAATGTCTAATTAATAATTTCTGGCCTAAAAAAGACCTGCAATAGGCAGATTTA